ACTAAGGCACCCCCCTTTAAACCCCTTTAGCCCCTTCAAATTTCATTTACACTCCCCTTTGCCCCCCTTGACAGCCAACACTCGAAAAAAGAAAAGAGCCCGGATTTGGGCTCCTCTCGGAGAGCGCGGAAAAACCCCACCGTCATTTTTTATTTTATTTTATTTTATTTTATTTGCCATGACGGGGTCACCCAGGCGTCACACCCGGGTGACCGGCCGGTCATGAAAATCTTCCTAGTTTAAAAACTAATAAAAGGTAATGAATTATTAATAATTAAAAAAATGGGGTTGCCTAATAAATTATTTTAGAGAGAGAGCATGTCCGGACCCCCCAAAAAAGCATAAACGGGCCTGAAAACCCGCCAAAACAATTTTGGGGGCTTGGCTCCTCAATGGGGAAGGGTCCTGGACCGTTTTTTTTTTTTTTTTTTTTCCCTTGAAATTTGTCAGATCCGGACCTTCCAGACCGGACGTCTGGAGTCCGGACTGAATCCAGACCGTCTGGATGGCGGTCCAGACGTCCGGATAGCCATGGTTTTTACTTTATCATTCACACGGTGTCCAGGTTGCAGTTGCCCCAGGAAGCCTCTTCTGGGCACCTTACTTAAGGTCTCTATCTAATGGTCTCTTTGAGACCTGTATGCGAGGAAAGGCTCTCTGATACTACACTTGATCTGAGGCGCTATTTTAATTTGTTTTTTTTTTGTTTTTTTTTTCTTTTTTTTAATAAAAAAAACAGGTCCTTATGGTCCTGGCTCCATATCCATTCTGGGGAGCATCAGTCCGGTTCCTATTCCCCCAGCAAGTCAAAATTGGATATATCATAGGACATGCTCACGCTTCCTTCCGTATGGCCGAAGGAACCCTGACCAGCATTGATTGCTCCTGACAGGAGGATTGACTGTCAGCTTGCCTTTCTCTGGGACCATCTCAGATACCTCTGTGAGAATCTTTCGGCTAAAGCTTTGAACCGAGAACGACAAAAGGGTTGCTCTTGAGTAGCTCTGAGGGTTTTTGAAACTCCTTATGTGGCCTGTGGCTCCTGTAGGCCGCCCGTTGAGTACAGTCTTGAACTTCTCCAGCTCCCCTCCGAGTTATGCCAATCTTTCCATTGTATGTTGGAGTCTGTTATCTCTGCGACTTTCCCTCCCACCAGCCAAACTTTGACAAACTTGGAGAGGATACTTTGTTGCCGGTCTTCATCGTCAGGCAATGAGTGCCTTGTTTTGTGCCATTGCATAGGATGTCTGCCTGAATCAGTGTCCTTGTCTCCACCCACACCTTTTCTCTTGGCAATGATAGTCCTTCGATAGTCCTGCCGCATCTTTCCTTCCAAATCGACCAGAGCGTTACCTTCCTGATCATGCCAAACCATGTCCTTTCCGTATTATTGAAATCAGCCGGAATGTTAGTCCATAGTAGAAGTTGGATAGGATGTTCAGGTAGGGGTTTGGAGTAAAGGGATTCCCAGAGGTCAGAAGCCCTGGCCCAGTACTCTGTCGCTTCCTTAACAACGAATTAGGCAGTGAAGAATGTCTTCCGGTTCGTTATCTGAACAGACTGTACATAGTTCAGAACTGTTCGGGTCGTTCCTCCATCTTCGGATATGGAGCCATTCATTGACTGGCAGCGCTACGTAAGTGATAAGCCATTGCAGACTCCTAATTTTGATTGGCCTGATTGTTTTGAATTTTTTCCATGGAATTTGTGAAATCTAGTGCGCTTCTTGTCCAATTAATTTTGACCAACCTGTAGCCCATTGCGAGGCTACGCCCGCTTAGCCCCTACGGGCCCTTATTTGCAGCACGGTCGGCCGCCCTAAGTGAAGGCAGGCACGACAGGCCCTCAGGGCCTCGTTTTTCAGGGTACCCCGCAACTGGGAAAATTCAGGCAGTTGCGCAGCGCCAGTTGGTTGAATGAACTCAGGCCCTGGGCCGCCTGTGTGAATGAATGTAAAGCAGGCCCTGGGCTGGATACGGGTACCGGGCCAAGCACAGGCCGAAAGCAGTTGGGCACATGCAACCACTTCAGGCCCAAGGCCTGCGTTCTTCGTGACTGGGCCTGGGCCTACTGGAAGCTTCCTGGACTGGACGCAGGCAGGCCACTTCGATATAGGGAAGGGCCTGCCTCCTCATTCAGCATTCGGGTGCTGGCTGCATGCTGCGGAAGCGCTGCTGCTGCACTATTTGCTGGCTGGCGCCTACGCTCTCACGGGCGAGCAGGGAAGGAGCACGCAGCCATAGCCAAGCTGCGCTGCTGTATGCTGGGTGAAGCGCAGGGTTGTCCTTGGGTGCAAGTGGCATCTGTGAGTTGGGGAACGAGGTTGTGAGGGTAGCGCAAGACATACCTGGTGCTGAAGCATGCGACATTGGTCGCCAGATGCTCGTACTTCGGGAACGCTGTTGATGTCATCATTCTGCTTCGTAGTATAGGCTAGATAGGACCTGCCACATGTAGTCTGGGCGCCGAGCGCCAATAGGATATCAACTCTGGTTCTTCGCTGATGATGATGGGACTACTTCAGCATTGTCAATGATGAACTCTTGGTGTGTTCTTATTTGGTGTATCTCGTGATGCAATTCTGTGTTGGTTCGAGGTCAAGACTATCTGGACTCATATGTATGATGCTGTTTGATTGTTGGATTTCGCTATCACTCATCTTCCTTGCAATTTGGTATCGGAGTTGTGGTACGATTGCGCTCATCTTGCGCTTGTCTTCTGCCTTATACGGTACATACATGCGGTCTGCTGGGCGAGTTTGGCCGTAAGTGGTGTGTAGTGAGGAGGGTGGAGATGAGTGTGAAGGCGACCCAGGTGGTGAGGGGCATCGCCTGGAAGGCTAAGGTGTAAATATTGGGTGTTCGCAGTGTGATGAGAACTATCTGTTGGGTGATTGAGGCTGAGGTGGAACGGCGAAATGCTGGTTGTGCGGATGCTGTGACTGGTCATCGCAATCATCTTCAGGTCATCTGGCTACCGCAGCGTAGTGCACAGACCAACTAATTACTGGTGGCTATTTTGGAACAGACCTCATTTGGGGTCAACAGAAGGTAAGTCAGATTCCTACTGTCAATACTATTCTTAGTAAGATCTAGTCCAAGTCCTGAACCAAATCGATCACGCCATCTGGGTGATCTGCAAATTGTTGGCCAGCATCCAACAAACCAACCTGAGAACCTCAACAATCTTTGTGGTCTGACAACAACTAATATCTGTCTTCACATTCTCCATCGCCCTTTTTATACACCATCAGACTTCCTTGCAATCGCCCTTCAGCTTGATGCTGATCTTCCCCAACGACAACCAGAGGATTGTAATTATACCAGCGAAGGAGGCTTTACCATTGCTGTCCTACAATTAGCAATGAGGGACCGTCAACTTGAACTACGCAATGCTCGAGCAGGTGAGTGGTTTAATCCTCCATCCCACATCTCTGCCTGCATTGTGCACGGCCCTGGCCATTACATGGC